ATTAGAGGACAGTTTAGGGAATAAATTATAGAGACAATTATTGTAGCTTGTCAGTCTGATAGTGAAGAAGTACAGGAAATATCAAGAGAATGAATGGCTCCCATGAATATTATATAGGTCTTTGTAAAGCCACTATTAAACAGTGGGTATATTTAGGACTTTTACTGCATAGTTGTGTAGTTTAAAGCTCCTAAAGTCCATGCAAGCAGTAATGACTATCAAGTAGTGATTTTACAGACCTTTCCAAAGAATGCTCAACAACTTTATTATCTAAGTATTTTCATTAAGAATTTGAAAAGGGAGGCTTCCTAAAGCACTGAGCTGCTTCTTTGTCACATAATCCCATTATCAAGCAACAACCTCTTCTATGAAGATAGGCTGAGAAAGTTGGGGTTGTTCAGCCTGGAGAAGAGAAGGTTTTGTGGAGATCTTATTGTGGCCTTTTAATATTTAAAGAGGGCTTGTAAGAAAGAAGAGGACAGACTGATGCAATAGAACAAGGCATAATTGTTTTAAACTAAAAAAGGTTATATTTAGATTGGAAAGAAGGAAGATTTTTTTTATGACTAGGGTGATGAGACTTTGGAACAGGTTGCCCGGTTCCCCAGAAGTTGTGGATACTCCATCACTGGAAGTGTTCAAGATCAGGTTGGACAGGACTTTGAGCAACCTGGTGTAGTAAAAGATGTCCCTGTTCATGGTAGAGGGATTGGACTAGTTGATCTTTGAAGGCCCCTTCTGACTCAAACTATTCTATGATTCTATAAACATGTTTTAATTAATATCTTTACCATATAAGAATAATATGATGACAAATAAAGATGCCATTGTGCCATAATTTAGAGAATACATGGATTTAGATAGTAGTATGTTTCAAAAAGACAATTTTTGTAAAAGTTATTGGGAAAAAAATCTGCTGCAAATTACCCAGTGTGAATCAAAATCAAACCTATTGAATTTCCATTGCAATTCTCCTTTACTTATGTGGAAAAAAAAATTAAAATAATTCTGTAATTTGGTTTACTACTTTGAATAAATGTTTTCTTCAAATTTATTGCTGCAACCATCTCAAATCAAAAAGATTGCCTCTGCACAATTTTTTCTTCTAAAAAGGTTATGAGAGTTGCAAGGGAAATTCTGAAATTCCTTCACATAGTCTCTAATTTAAGGGCAGAGGAGGGAACAGCAAATGCAGAACATGAAAATGATTGGTTGTGCAGGCTACTTTGGAAGTGAATTGTACTTCTGGAAGTTCCCGAGTTGTTGCTGAGAGAAGTATACAATGTCTGTGTTTCTTTTTGTTGATTTGGAGAAGACAGTAAAAATGATAGATGTTAGGTTTTTACATATTACAAATGCATCCTGAACTTTTTTCCTTCACATTTCAGAAGTGTCAAATGGCATTAAGAAATGTGAGTGTTTTTATGACAATTACAATTTGATGCACAGAAAAATTCTGCAATACATTAAACACATAAATGTAAACAAAAAGACATACTATGTGTGTAAAGAAAAACAGGCAGAATCACAAACCAGAGAACATCACCAAGAAATTTCAGAAGTGTTCACATTTTTGCCTGTAAATGTTTTACTATTCATATTCTGACAATATACATTAAAAGTATATTTTAAACTTGATATTTATTCTTGATGTCATTCACCTTTTTTGCATGTAATTTCCTTCACTAATACCAAACACTACATATTGACCTATATGTGACTGTTATTTATTATTAATTTTGTGAGAGATTAGGATTTCTTATCAATCATGTAAATTTATTATGAGAGTTGCCATAATAAATGTTTGTGCTACCAAGACATCTTTACATAAACAAACATGTAAATGGTCTGACTGTTAACAGCACAGCTTTTACTTATATTTGGAATTAATTTGCTAACAAATCTTGATATCATGCTAGCTACCTGATCTTCATTCAATTTATAATTTACACATTTTCAAGTCTTCATCAATGAAGTTTAAACAATTACCTGTTTTGTAATTTCACCATATTTTGTAATTTAAAATGCCATGCATGTCAACTTAGACAACTGTATTAAACAGAGGTAGAATTATTCTTACATAATTCTTACACTGTAACCATTTTCTGTGTGTAGTGTCCAGTCTACATTCCACCACCACCCTAAAATAATTGTCATCTAACTGCTTGCCTCCTCACTGTTTTTTTTTCAATTTTTGTAATAGGAACAGTAGGGGGCATTCAGAGCTTTAGGTGCTCAGTATGGCTGGATATGATCCTTTGATGTTAGTTAACTGCATTTTAAATGAGTCAAATGCAATTCAACCAATTTACAGTATACCATATTAAATCCATTAATTCATGTAATACACATTTATGCATCATGAGCTTCTTTACTTCTTTGTTGTGTTGTTAATTACTTTCACTTAAGTTTTTAGAAGCATTTATTTTACATAGAATTTTAATAAAATAGATGAAAAGCAAAGATGAATGCAACAAGTTAGTTGCAAGATGTTTTAAATAATGAACAAAATTATTTTCTTAAATTGAAAGCACATTCATTCTTAATGTGTTCCTTACAAAGAAAAAAAAAACAACACAGGAAAAAAAAGTCTGACTTGAGTATACTTATTTGCTGTGGCAAACAAGTGTTGGGAAAAATGGCTGTCCTTCTCCCCAGCTCTCAGAAGAAAAAAGAAGAAAAATAGCCCAGGATTTCTTATAAGCTGTAGCTTCAGCTCCACAGATCTGAAAGAAGCTATGGGAGCTATGAGGAGCCACCTGCTTTATACAGCCTATCAGCAAAAAAGCAAAAGCCTCAGAAACCTACAGACTCATAAGAATGTACCATACGTATTAGGGTAAAGTTGCCACTCTGAGGTTATTTGAAGATAAGTGGGTGGAGATGGCTTTATATCAACATAGCATTTCCCTCATTCCATGATATGGATAATATTCTCCTGTGTAGAGTGCTAATTAGCACAGGAAAGTCCATGCCAGCAAAGTAGTCCACCTAATAAAACTGGCCACTGTCTAGAGTGGAACATCAGGGGATTTACCAGGTCAGAAAAACAGTGTATTTATGAGTTTAACTGCAAAGTTTAATATGATCAAGACACCCCTAAGACACTTAAGGTCCCATATTTCTTGTGAGGATTGCTCACACATTTTCCATTATAAAGTTTTTGGGTAAAATGCATAACCAATAGGAGATCTAATTATAAGATCTTTTTTGAGTCAGTGGGGTATAGAATCAGATGCATCCCTGCTTATTTGCTCCAGAGAGACCGACTGCACACCTAATCAACCTGAAGAATATTTTAGAAGTTTGGATGTGAATGTGGGACTGGGAAGAAGTAGGCTTGAATTTACATTTCTCTTTCTGATCTTACTGAAATATCTTTTTCACTATTCCTCTCTCAAGTTCCTGCATAGCTTTCAGTTTTCTGTCAGCAGAGTACAAGGAATCTCTTCAAGAAAATTGATAATATGCAATCAGAAAGTTATTTTTTTATTTTATGGCAGAAATAAAACAAACAAAAAACCCTTCTTCTTGACAAAAGGTAATCCCACAATTCAGCTGGTTTCACCCTACATGCAACAGCTGATCAGAATGAGAAACTGAGAAACTCTTAATCTGCAACTCAAACCACAGAATGACAAGTTTTGTTTTTAATATTTTTTCTTGGATGAGCCAGGGTGTTAAAGGATTTCCCAGAACACTGTCACAGGGGCATATTTTATTACTGTATTTTCCTATATTTCCTGTACTAATACTTGATATTCATATTACGGTTATTGTATGCACTCCAATGGCTAAGTGTATAACCTCAAATATCAAATAGATTATTCAAGGAATGGCATCTCACACTGGTTGAGTGTTTGCAGTTTAGGTCTGACATTATTTTCTCACAGTTTGCCTTCAAGTCACATTAATGTAGACACTGAGAGTGCAATTCATTTGTTAGATTTTTGCCTTTTGTGGTGCTGTAGGGTACCCTACCGGGAGACCATCAGCCACTCCACAAGGACAGGGAAATTCTGAGCATCCTCTGTCATACCTTCAGGCCTACACAGATGTCTCAGTTACTGCAGGGCCTTATAAGGTACTTGATTTCTGTGTGTGGGTAATTGAATCCTGCCTTACTTTTGGTCACCTGAATAACCCTGTTTGGTCCTGTTATCACACTGACCAGACCTCTATGGAATAAAATGGTCTATATATACAGGCAATGTAGACACTAAAATTTAGATCTGAATCTGGAGCTGACTCCCAACTTTGCATTCCAATAATTTCATCATTATCCTGGCAAATTCAATAGCTTATGGTCACTACTCATGTTTCAGAGCTTACTTCCAGTCTTCAAGCAGTTCAGCTGATTATAGACAGTGTCAGATTTTAATCACCTTCTTTCTATGTCTAAATACTAACCCTACAAAGGGATAATATAAGAATATACAGAATTAAAACAGAATGTGTGCCATATGTTTGACAAAAGAAAGCAACATATTTATCCTGCCCTTACCCACTGTAATACTCTCATCATTTTTCCATAGTATTTATGTGTCCTTTCTGCTGTAGTTGCAGTCCACCTGCTTTGTCATTTATCTCTGCATATCACTTCATTTACAGTACACTCAAAATATACCAAGAATATTAATTTTATCTCAAAGTTTTTCAGGAATCTAATATCTAATAAAGTTTAAAAGACACAGCATTTATGCAAATTTACATCTATATATAAGATGTATAGTTACACTAAGTCTTCATAGAGTTTTTCAGAAACAAGCAGAAGGTTTTTTCATACTTTTTAAATCTAATATCCTTTAGGTCAGTATCCATTCAGAGGAAAGATATCTGGTATGCTAATATTGGAAGATTTTATCAGTCTTGGAGAAGAAATTACTGAAACAATAGAAAATAGATTTTTTTTTTTCCAATTTGGCTATAGATTTGCTAGACCTAAAGCATATGTGCTCCTCTTTTCTGATGACGTACACAAAAATTTTTTATCACTTCACCTGTTCATTCACTCTGGAGTGTGATGGCCCATGATGGATAAGAATCTTCACAATGTCTACATCTCCTCTCCAAGCAGCCAAGTGAATAGGAAAATAACCTTTATTATCTGCCACATTAGTTGATGCTTCATACTGAAGTAACTTGAGAACTATATCCCTGGAAAAGAGCAAGTAAATCTAAAAATTGACAGGAAGCTTATTTTATTAAGTTTTTACATGAACATACATATTACCAAAATTTTTACCCCAAATAACAGAAAAATCCCCTGTATTTCAAGTGAAAATGCTATAAAAATGAAGACAAATAATTTCTGAGAATGAAACAGATAGTAAAACATTGGCAAAATATTCTTCATTGTAATGATTCTTACTTCTTATGAATACCCATCAACAATATTAGGATTAGCTCTCTGGATCTGCTTCTTTAAACAAGATGACTTGGCCATGGAATTGTTTTTAGAATTTGCCAGTCAAGGCCATGTGCATGTGCCTCAAGACAAACCTTCCAGGCACTAAGGGCAGAGAAGTAGTCCTATCCCCATCATTACTGAGTTCTGGAGGCAGGGAGACAAGAGGACAGCTTTATGGACAGGGTTCTTGCAGTAAGGCTGAAAAGAAACAGGTTTTCTTCTTCTTTAAGGCTTTATCTCAAAGAGTTTTTTTGCAGAAAATAATTTAATGATGATCTAGTTAGATATATACTATCTTCTGTGGAATAACTCCTCCTGTTTTCATTTTCCACATCCAGCTTCCTGAGACCAGTGAGGAAAAAAGTGATTTTTATTATTTTAATTCTTATTATAATTCCTTTCAGTTTATTCAGCATGGCCTACCATACATTAAATGAAAGATTAGTATAAGCTGATATATTGCATCCCTGATTTTAAGAAGTCTCTTGTACTTAACTTCAAAGGTTAAACTTAAAAATCTAGTGTGGTATGATCATTGCTTATCAAGTATGTCAAAAAGTAAATAAATTCTGTCTTATCTCTCCATCTGTCTTTTCATAGTTTGACACAGTTAGGCCTCATTACTTATTAAGTTAATAGCATCTATGATCCAGTGTGGGCGTTTCTATGCATATTTTTGCTGATTATGGAAACACTGACTCTTATCAATTTTGCTCTAAAAATCAGGGGGGCAGGGAGCATGGAAGGAGCTCAGTGCAGCCTATGTTATGACTATACGCAAAAACCTTGACTACAAATTAAAACAGAAAGTAAATCCCAAGGCAATTGTTCTCCCAACCTTGATGGTATCTTATTTTACTGCCTATTGAGAGAAAAAATGTGGCAAGTAAGAGTGAATATATCCAGGTCAAAAGAAACTCCAAATTGTCTCTAATTCATAGACATAGAGATACTGGAGTCATCACATCTAAGCTTTGAGGGAAACTTTAAGCTGGATTTTATTTACTCCTGACAAGGTCAAATAACATTAAAACAACCAAGAGCAGCTCCACTACAGGATGACTTTTGGTACACCAAAATTTCCAGAAAAGTGACTCCTGAGACTTTTTAGTATAAATAAGTTTTGAGAGACTTCTCGTGTCATAATAGTTGGTCTTGCAGTAGATAATCTAATAACGGCTAGAGATACAGAGTATTTTGAAAGGGACACAAATCAAAGGAAACAGAAATTGAAATATGTGGGGGAAAACAGAAAAAAACCCCATCACAACTGAAATCTACAGATAATGATATACAGTTACTATTGGGAAGAGTCTGTTGCAAGATTTAAGCTACAAAGTAGAACCTAGGTCTCTTTCATCCTTCTAGAGTGCCCTGACCTGTCACACTCCTCTAGGGTGAATCTTTTTTAGTGCTCTGTCAGAACTTTTTCATTTTATAGAAATAAATTTCAGAGGGGAGAAGACACAGAGTCCTTATCCCAGTAGCATTACTGGGCTAAGTAAAATTACTTAGGGATATTAAGATTCAAATCTCTGTCCCAGATATGATTAAATTACTTATATAAAGCAGAATAGTTTCAAAACAAAACAGAACTGCCCCAGAATAACCAAGGAGGAGAGAATTCATCACGTACAATGATCAAGCAGGGACTTGAACACTGGTGTCCAACAAGTGTCCCAGCCAGAAATTATTGCTTGGGTCATTAAGATTTACGTTCTCACTTTTCCTGAAAAACTCTGAAATCTCTCAAGTTCATCCTAATGTAAATTAATATTGTAAAAAATAAAACTCCAAAAGTTTTCAAAGGATAAGAGCTTATCCTAAGTGGGAAGGCTCCCGTGTCCCAATATTGTACCCAATATTGATTTTGCATATCAAGTTTCAAATCTGAAACAGAGTGTAAAGCTATTTGTTATGGTGACTAACAAAGTTCAAACCACCAGGAATCTGTCCAATTCTTTTGCTACCATTGTAGCAGGATCAGCACAACAGCTTGGATAGCCGGTCCTGAACCATCATGATTAATCATGAAATACCTCATGATGTATTTCAGCTTCCTTTACTATAACAAGCTATAAATGTGATGACAGTAACTACTACTTCCCCTGCTGTGAGGGTTAGAAGTCATAGCAGCCAGTGACCATCATGACCTTTTTAAAAGCTGCAGTTATAAGTCCTTGGTATATATACAGCAGTCCTGCTGCTGTATATAAGTCCTTGAAGATCTTGAAGTTCTCTCTGACTTCAGCAGAAGTTTGGCCAACTGTGTCTGAAAATGCTATTTGGCTTTTGTATGTTTTGGGATTTTATAATTTATATTGCTAGGATTCACTTGAAATCTCTAATAGATTCAGTGTTTATACAGCAATATTTTTACTTTGCTGGGTAACTATTGGTTTATAGTCAGTATTAAACATACTAAAACCAGTTTTCATCTATTTAAAACCAGCAATCTTTTCAAGCTAAGGCTTGGGCTTCTGTCAGCCAGAAATGTGCAATGGCACAAGAAACAATCCATAAACTATAAACAAGAGAAATGTGATTTTCTCCCTTTTTAAAAGAGGCTGAGTTTAAAAGACCGTATTAAGGATTTAGACCTAATTCAATGGAGGTAAAATATATTAATGGATTATTCTGCATCTTTCCACAGAACTGAAATTTTGAAAATGCACAATATCTAGTTTAACAGTATTTTAACTTCATTTATTTATTCAGAAACAGAATATCCTATATTCACCAAAAGATTGATCTGGTGTAAAGAAAATATGCAGGTTTCTAGAATATAATTAAACACATCCTAAAGTTTTGATTTTTCCAAGAAAGAATGCAAAAACTGTAAAATTAATAACTAAACATACAATTATTATTGGATTCATATATTATCTTATGAATAGATGAAAGTTAGTGCAAATCACTCTGTTTTAGTTGGTTTTTGATCAGCTCCTTATCTCCCGCAGAGGAATAACCCAAAGATCACGTCAAAATTTTCATTATTTAAAGTCCAGACAATGTTAACACCACCACTTTACAAACAAGACAGCTGGACTGTATTAAGTGGGGCAGCTCTTACTTTGGTTACAGTGGGGTCCATTCCACTAGAACTTTATAGACCTCACTAAAATCTTTCTTTCTTGTTCTGCCTTAATAACAACATGCAGCTGGCAGCATAATACAATGGACATAGCACAGCAAGGGGCAACATGCAATAACAGAAGTAACACAGAGCAAATTACAGGGCATAATAACAAAATATGTAGCAAATTTCCAGTTTTGTACTGACAGGTCAATTCCTTAGAATTCACCTGCACTGGTATGCCTGCTCAGTGAGGATTTTGCAGGGTTTCCCCAGGATTGTTGAGACATGCATGTGGAAACTTGGATAGACAGCAGGGAGAGAAAAGCTACAAAGCCCCATATATGGTAATAGCCATTTTTTAATGCTTTCATGTGTATAACTAGTAAATATTTTTATCATGCTACTTTTACTTTGATAATTATTAATCTACACCTTTCTTTTGTTCTACATTGTTTCCTTAAACTTTCAATGCACTACACATTTGTACATACACACACAAGTATCTTATAAAATTTTCTGTTGTAATTTCTCACCAGCTAAAATGCACTAGATCCACCACTAGCAATAACAATAAATTTACTCAAAATCAAGCAAGAATTTGGAATTACCAGTATAGAATCAATAACTTCGAAACTGCATTTCCCATTTTTTATTACTACATGCTGATATCAATGACAGTGTCAACAATTCTTATGTTAATATATCCCATTGGAAATAAGATTATTCTAGTAAGACAGGGTTTGTCAACTTTGTGAAAATCTCAGTACTATGCTACATATTTTTAAGTTATGCAGTTAAATACCATTCTACATAAAAACTAAACAAGAGGCACTTACTTGTGTCCATTTAAAGCTGCATGATGTAAAGCAGTGTAACCTGAACTGTCTGTGCAGTTTATATTTGGTCCTCGCCAGATGCTGCAAATAAAGCACAATTGTAAATTATTTTTCTGGCTTGGCAAGTACAGAAATGTCAGAAATTTAATGTATAAATAATCTAAAGATCACTGCAACAAGTGTGATTAAACTTTACGAGACAAATTATCTTGAAAAAATGTAAAATGTCATGTTGATATCAATATAATTTATTTATGAAACTAATTTTACACATTCATCTTTATAGCAGTCATGAACTTTATGTAGGGCAGTCTCAAAGACTAATAACTATTCTGTCATTTCAATTAGATCTGTTCTCCCAGTATTACTGTGGTAATTACACTGAAGTTATAATCTGATTTTGCACTACTTTTTTCTCAGGTATATATTCATTGACTCCAGGTCAGTTAGTCTAGATCCACACAAACATAAGATTAGTGAGATTCAATCATATCCTTTAAAAAGACAGTAAATTTATTCTTTTTTCTTGGCTTGATATTTTAGCTCCCATTTTAACCAATTACATTTTAAAATAAATTTTATATATATATATAAAACAAAATCAGAATAAATTATGATGGGGGTTAGTGTTATCTTCCTGTATTTTACAGCACTTATTTTACAGTCAGTTTCATTATATGCCCCATGAAACCAGTTTCATGATCTATTATGGACTTTGCCCAAAACAGTAAAGGAGATTTTTTGTTTCAAACTAGAAAAATGTGACTGCTAAAACCACCAAAACAAACCAAATTCACCAAAGCCTGGAAATTGAATACCAGAGGCATATTGAGTACCTGCAGGTTTTTTGCTAACTTACTACATTTGAAGTTTACTGTATCCTTTGTGGAAGCAACTTTTTACCCTTTTTTTAAAGTTCTGTAACACAGTTTTCAATCATTAGTATTACTAATTATTCTAGGACACAAGATGATGCATCCTGAACTACAGTCTGTTTTCTGCACTGTATTAGAAATACAGTGTTAAACAGTCACTGGCAAGCACTATTTTCTCTTCACTTCATAACTTAGAATCAAGTGCTGGAGTTTAAAGAAAATAATCTGAAGTCAATATGTAAAAAATGTTCATACTGACATTTTTCATGATCTACATCAATAAAATGACACGTTAAGATTAATGTATGCTTTTTAAGAATCCTTTACTACTGAATCTGTATTTTATTACCAGTGAGATACGGGTGTTGCAGACTGGTCTCTTTTTTGTGCATGTTTGAATGATTGATTACTTCATAAATTTAAACAGTTGTTTTCCCATAATTAATACTGCATGCATACAGAATTATTTGTGTGACACATTGTGTTCTGCAGTGAGCATCATTCTACATAGGGATGGGTACCTCACATCCCTCTGCAATTTAATTTCTTGGAAGAACAGGACTGAAATATTTTCTTGGGTGCAAAGAAGCAAAAAATGAAGCCATTTTTTTAAAGCTGCTCAGAAGTCTACAGATGTTGTTTTCTACAGAAGGCAACTTCCAGCTATGAAAGTCACTCTAATCTTTATAATTAAAAGAAATTATTTTAACTTCATGAGCAATAGCTCTTCCATAATGGACAGATGTAATTTATATGGCAAAGACAGGCTGTCTTTATCTATTGGAAGGAAAGAAGTACTTATCTATCGATATTCTATAACCTCTTTTATACTTTTGCATAATACTTTGTTATTTTCTTATTTACTGGATTCTACTTTCTTCCTTTGATTTGTACCAGATTATAGAAGAATTAAGCAGAAAATTGAAAGCGGTATATAAAGTCATATTTTAAACATTAAAATAATATTTAAAATCTTAACATAAACAGCAAGAATATTAATTTACTTGGTTTTGCTTGCTTTGGTTTATAGTAGTTAGGATTTGCCTGGTTGTTGGTTGTTTTTTCAAAATACAAGGGGTCCAGGAGTTCATATATTATCCACGATGCACAAGGTCTTAAAAAAAAATTAAAAATAAAACAAACAAAAAAAATCAAAACCTAGTTCTTTTCTAGCCTAATCTTTTCTAGCCTGATTTTCTCCTTTAATCCAGGTACTTTTTAATGCATTGTTGTACTTCCTGATTCTGGTCCCTGGAAATATTTTTCAGCTAAAACAGTACTGAACCCTTTTTTTTTTTTTAAACTGAAACTTTACTAATGAGTATATACATGCTCCTGTGCGAAGCTTCTCGGGACACTCAAGCTGGGAGACAAAGGAGAGTGAGAAAATCCTGATGACTCAAGAGAGATGAGACAGGATGGACAGATTAATCACTGTCAGCTCCCAAACACTACAGAAAGACATGCTTAAATCAGAACCTTGTTATCAAAGTAAAGAACACAGGAGACATGAGCAGGACTCAAATGCCGGCATTTCCTTTCCCTCGGGCCAATGCAGAAATCCCCTCCTAGGACGTCTTGCGTTGCTGCAGTATTACAACATTTCCTACAAAATTAATGCACTGGATATTTATGCTTTAATAACTCACAATCAAATTCAATTTGGACAGTCTCCAAATAGAAATTCTTACACCCTAAAATTCCCAGCTGTGGTGAATAATTCAGCTAAAACTTTTATCTTGTAATCAGAATACAGCAAGGCAAAATTATAGTGGTGTATTATTAGCTCCATTAAAAAAGCATTTAATCTCATAGAAAAGTGGGGTGGAGAAAGAGAAAAAGCATAGAGAGCCCTTCTTTGCCTTTATAAACACATATAATATATGAGCAATTATCAAACATATCAATTTATCTGTGTATTAAAACACTTCAGGAGTTACTGTGGAAGCAACACTGAGGAGAACTTGGAAAAAAGCAAATTACCAGTCAACCTCCAGAAAATAAGATTTTTACAAAAGATTACCAGCTCTTTAGATTACCGTTAATATTGAATGTTCTCAAAAACATGTTTCTCCTAATTCTTTGATGCAGTCAATAATTAAGTTTCTTCATTTTACATACATTAGTAAGTTAGGAACTTTTCTTCCTATGTAAATCAGTAAATTAGGACAATATTTCTATCACTTAAAGAACTTTAAGAAAGTAATTGAACCTACTTTTTGTGCAAAAAACCCAGTTTTCAGTCAATGATGAATTAAAACTCTGAAATAAAATATGATCATCAATTATTTTCTTCTGTGGTATCTTGCCAAAGTGAGGCACAAAGAAACTGAAAGCTGTTATGCTACTTGAACTATTGCCAAAAGCAGAAAGACCCTCTTATTACAGTTTGCTCTCACTCTGGACAAAGAATACTGACCTTTTGAACTGATGTAAAATATTAATCGGAAATACTCTTTACTTGGTAAGAAAATTAACATTTTTTTCTTTTTTATGAGCTGAAGATAATTACATATAAAGAGGAGCATTTCAAAAGTGCTATGAAAATGACAGACTAAAGAAAAACACAGTTGATGGATTTGGTTTTTTGCTATATGCAAAGAATAATTATGAAGTTGCTGTTGTTACACACATATAGGAACACAAAAGCAAGAAAATCAGAACTTAATTCAGCTAATTTTCATCACACAGGCACACTCACTATCAACAGTACAAGAACCATGCATACATACACAGAATGTCCACCACAACTCAATGATTCCATTGTATTTCCCCTTTGTGCATATACTTTCATTATATTATTACATTATTTTATTATTCATTATCTAATTATTCATGCACTAACATTTATGGTCTTTATGCAGTAATTTTGCCAAGGTGAAAAGAAAATATTTTCATAAAACAATTATAAGAGTCTTCAAAAGCTGTAGAAAGCTGCCTGATGACATCAGTGTCTGTCTGCCCATTGGTTTCACTTAAACTTTATTTGACAACTGACTGGTAATTATCTTTGGAATTCATTTATTCTCTGAAATAAAGTGGCAAGGAAGAGGATCATTGTCTAGATGGAATCAGTTCCTCCAGAGGAGATGGACAGGAAGAACTTCCTAGAGATCCCCTGGCTCTTCAGGACTATGGAGGTAGTGAATCTCATCTTGCCAGGTCAGTTTTTATAGTAGGAAACCCTAAAATTCATCCAGTTCTCATTGAACTGGCAGCAGCAAACACCAAGCAGCTCAGATACATCTACTTTCCTTATCGTTCCTATCTTCCACGGAATAAATACGTAATACAGGAATTTGTGTTTTTCTGAGCCAAAATTGCCAAAAATTTCCATGTTTATTGTTGTTAATCTGACAGAAACATGTTGCCTAAAGTTGGTAGAGCACATAGCTTGGCTCCTATACTCATTAGTCCTCTGCCTACATTCATACTCACTTTCAGTCGTGTAAATTGAACTTTTACAAAATATATGGACAATTTTACAGAGCATTTTTGAAATTTTTATACAACAAAAATTATGTATCATCAGTTATTCAGACACAAAATAATAATCTTACTTGTTGTGAAAAGCTGCGAGATACTTCCCATTCTCTATTTGTGCACAAATAAATAAAAATGACAACCAAGTTGCTCTAACCTGTATAAATTAATAATGTTTCTTATCAAATATAGAAGTGTTTCATTTCAGTAAATGTGGGGTTTTTTTCTTTCTATAGATTCCTCTTTGATGGAATCCAGTGTCACATAAGATATATTATCCTGTAAAATTAATGTAAGTCTTTTTTATGTATGGTTTTACCTATTATTTACACTACTTGACTGAATTTCAGACACATTTTCAAATTACTTTAAGAAAAGTAGATTTAAATATTTGCCTCTAATGACAGTGGGGAAAAAAAAAAACAAAAAATAGAAAAACAAAAAAACCCTCAAACATTTTAAAGCATAACAAATAATTAATTAACAATAAAAATGCATTCTAGGATTTTTCTTTTTTAGTAAGTGCAGCTATAGGTCTGCAATTGATAAAAGTAGATGTTGTCTTGAGTAAGGCTATCTTAGATCTTCTTTTCACTATTAAACTAGCAGTTGCAAGCAGCAGCTGAGAGTTAAAAATTCAAAATTTAAATAATCATAATAAAAAATATTTTTTAATTTAAAAAGGAGAAAGGCAGCGGGATTACCCATTCAATTAATAGTAAC